TTTTTTTTCTTAGCAAGAGTACACAGAGGTGTGGAATGGAAAGAGAATTCTGAGTTCTTGCGCTTGTTTGTTCCTGTAGGAACTGGCTGTCAGCAGACACTAAAGAGGAACGGGATCTCTGGATGCAAAAACTCAATCAAGTTCTTGTTGATATTCGCCTCTGGCAGCCTGATGCCTGCTACAAACCTATTGGAAGGCCTTAAACTCTGGGAAATGTCCATGCCATGGAGAGATTTTTTTGAGCTATGTCACAAATGTGTTTTAAGAAAGTACACTTAAGAACATCAGGTTTGCTGATTGCATTTTATGCTTTAAATACGAAAGGGTTTGTGCCAATATTCACTACATATTATGCAGTATTTATATCTTTTGTATGTAAAACTTTAACTGATTTCTCTTCTGTCATTCTTAAATGATTATAAGTAAATTTATTATAGTTGATTTTGCTAAATCTTAATTTAAAAGTCTCCTTTTCCTAGAAATCTAATTATTCAGTTATTCCCGACAAAGTATTTTTTAAGTAGAAAATTCTGAATTATCTTCTTAGAGCTGTGGGATCTCGAAGTAGCAGGCTCTTCCAGGGGTTGGAGACAGAAACCTCAGAGTTGGTTATCTTTTCTCCAGCCTCCATAATGTTTTCTAAAGGTTATGATCATTTATTGATCATGATATGACTTGTTATCAGGGTACTGAAAAAATTTCGAGGACTTTGCAGAAACTTTTTTAGTAATGGAGATGACAACTTTTTCAAATAGCAAATGTACATTGGCTTAAAGCTTGAGGCTGCCTTCAAAAAAGAGATGCAGACATAGGGAACATTGTGTGAGAGTTGGGGGTTAAATATTTTACATAGAAGAGTTAATAGTCACATGGTTTACATGTACTCAGTTACTATATATGCAGTGTGGTGCACATTTTCATAGAATTCAGACTTTATTAAGATAATTGTTTTTGTTATATAACTTACAGACTCCTGAAATATACTTAGATTGTTAGGTTTTTTCTGCTTCTGTAACAAGAACAAATGTAAAGTGAAGAATCTTTATATTAAAAAAAAAAAAAAAAAGTAAACTTTTACCAGGCTGCTACGGACTAATACTTTGCTTGCCAAAGTCTTTTTGGTTTTTTTCTCCCCCATGTCCATGAACAACAGTATCTAGAAACCCATTTTGAAACTGAAAAACAATTAAGTCATGTATCACCTTTAAAAACTTAATGCCTTTTTTATTATAAAATGCTGTAAAGCATGGATTCAACTTTTAAATACACCTTGAACTTCTTTTCTGAATTATTAAAGTTATTGATTATCTCATTTATAAACACTAAATTCTGTCACTTTCTGTCATTCTATTTTTATTCATTCAAATATATTTTTTCTTATGTATATTATAAAAATATATTTTATGACCTCTTACCCAAATAAATACTTGTAAATGGCTAACAAAATCCGCTATTTAAAAAATACTGTTTAAATGTGTGGTGTGGCCACTCTACATCCCTGGGCTGTGGGCTCCTTGAGGGTTAATGTATTGACAGTATCTCATTCGTCTTTTTATTTCTACCCCAGTTCATTTTATCGTGTGTTCTTAAGGTTGCTCTTAAATTCATAGATGGATGAAGGATCCATTTCTGAGATATTTCAATCAAATATGGTATAAGATGTGATTTGATGAGACGGAGGATGATCCCTAAGTCCTTAGCAGAGACTGAGTAAGGTCACCAGCTAGAACAGGAACAGGGTTGATGGGACTGAGGAGGAGGTCCCTTATATTTATTTATAGACTTGCATTTATTTCTGAATAGGCATTCAAAGGGCACAAAAGCATGGTACAAAATTCAGAATGTACAAAGAAGGTGAAGTAAAAAGTAAGTTTTCTCCCATTGTCACCACTTTTACCAGTTGTTTGTCCTCCCAGAGGACACTATGCATATTATTTTGAGCTTGGAGTCTCACTCTGTCACCCAAGCTAGAGTACAGTGGCACACTCAAGGCCACCACAGCCTTGACCTACTGGGCTCAGGTGATCCTTCTACTTCAGCCTTCCAAGTAACTGGAACTACAGGCGTGCACCACCACGTCCAGCTAATTTTTCTTGATTTATTGTAGAGATGAGGTCTTGCCAAGTTGCTTAGGCTGGTTTCAAACTTGTGGGCTCAGGCAGTTCTCTCACCTCAGCCTCCCAAAGTGCTGGGATTATAGGCCTGAGCTACCACGCCCGGCTGAAATATTTATTTTCTTTTATTCATAAAAATATTCTATACATACTGTGTATTGGAAGTTAAAGTACAACAGTATCCCTTAGAGGTCATTCCATCTTAATATATAGAATGTCTATAAAGTTCAATTTTAGAAGAAATTTAGTTTAAGATAATTGTGGGACATAAGTTAGAAATACCCCATAAATAGTTGATAATGCTATTCTAAAGATTTCAGTGTCGTCTGCCTAGGGGTGTTGTTGAAACCATTAGGGTGAATAAGATCATCCAGGGAGTATGATGCTGGAAGAGAAGAAAGAGCAAAAGGAATGCTGTTCTTTAGGGGAAAAGAAAAAAAAAGAAATGGCTAATGATTGTCTTCCATGAAAGAAAAATAAGAGTAGGGTTTGGTGAGACCAAAGAAGAATCTTAAGATTCTGACCACAGACTCATAAAGCAAATTAATGAAAATAGGAACTAAAATTTGAGGCAGTCAGTTCAATAAAATGTAAAATAGATAAAAAGTCAGGTTACAATAAAATTTACAGAGGAAAAGAATGATAGATTTGATTGTATAGAAAATTTTCTGTCTGGGGCCAGGCATGGTGTGGCCCATGCTTGTAATTCCAGCACTTTGGGAGGCGGAGGTGAGAGAATTGCCTGATACAGGGATTTGAGACCAGCCTGAGCAACTTGGCGAGACCTTTTCTCTACAATAAATCAAAAAATTAGCAGCCGGGCTCGATGGCTCAGCCTGTAATCCCGCGCCTTTGGGAGGTTGAGGTGAGTGGATTGCCTGAGCCTGCGGATTCAAGACCCACCTGGCAGCGAGACCTCATCTCTACAATAAATAAAAAAATCAGCCGGGCATGGTAGCGCATGCCTGTAATTCTGGCTACTGGAAGACTGAGGCGGAAGGATCGCCAGGAGCGGCCACTGCACTCCAGTCTGAGCGTCAGAGTGATACTCCGACTCAAACAAAAAAAAACAAAAAACAAAACAAAAATGTACACTTAATGCTAAACCATGATAAATATCTGTCATCTAACATAGAAACACTTTGTAAATTTGAAAGGGTCATTTCAAGTTAACATGTGCTTGTATAAATTAATGAGATGCATGTTAAAGAGAAATATGTAGCCCATGACTCCACAGAACTTATATGTTGCCCATGACTCCACAGAATTTATGCTCTTCTATGGTGAGACTAAGGTAACATTGGAAGAAAAAGCATAATGTAGTGTCCTAAAAGTTTACAGAGTATGGTCATGTTGGTATTTATTTTTACATAAAGTAAACAAAAAGACTTCCTTGTTTTGGCACTTCAGAATCAGTCAAATAATCAACTTCCTACTTATGTACACTCTAAGACAAAGACTATCAGTCAGTCAAAGTTTTGTCAGAAGCTTTAGTCAGGATTCCTACAGTGCCCATGTTCTCAAAACTTTAGTCAGGATTATTTCTATGATAAGACCTCGATTGAAAAGCAACAGAGAACCAGCCTCCTAATTCTCAAACAATGATACAATTATAAATAAAAGCATAAGCATGCTAGCACATGACAAAGGCAATCACTAGCATGGCTCAAACTAATATAACTCTGGAACATTGAAGAGAGGGGCTGTGTATGTAATATGCCCCATCATTTGTATTAGAGTGTCAGTAGACACTACCTAGAGATGATAAAAAAGAAACAGAACTTCATATGTTCTGCAGCATTATAGAAGAGGCCATCAGAGCAATTACAATAGAAATTATTAGGTCAGCTTAGGTCAGGG